TTGGAGGGAGGGTATCCCTACATTTGGCACAGGCCAGCTATTGACTAATGCCCAGCTGTCCAAGAGAGCCACATTTGCAGTGGGGTGCTGAGGACCATGGCTGGCCATGTGTGTGCTGGGAGGGCCTGGCTGCAGCAGACCCAGGACCCAATGCCTGTCACCCTCTGCAGCTTCTACTCCTATAAGAGCTTCGAGACAGCCGTGGCTCCCAATGTGGCCCTTGCACCACCAGCCCAGCAGAAGGTTGTGACCAGCCCACCATGTGCCACCGTCGTCTCCCGGGCCCCCGAGACCCTCTCTGTGTCCATCCAGCCACGGAAGCGGAAGCTGGCTGAGGAGAACCCCGTGGTCCCCGCGAGCCTGGTGCCTCTCGCTGTCCCAGAGGAGGACAAGGACTCGGAGGCCGAGGTCGAAGTGGAGAGCAGGGAGGAATGTAAGTGTGAGTTCTGCTTCCTTTCTTACTCCCTGTTCGGGGCGTGGGCCCCTCTAGTCACTGGGTTCGGGTGAGTGGCACGGCTTAGGAGCGCGCCCTGCTTTGGAAAGCCTGCAGCGTTGGATTTGATGTTGGTTTCTGCAGTCACCTCCTCGCTGTCCTCGCTCTCGTCCCCGTCCTTCACCTCGTCCAGCTCCGCCAAGGACCTGAGCTCCCCCGGTGTGCACGCCCCGGCCCCTGCCAGCTCCGCTCTGGACAACTCGGCCCACTCGGACGCCCCGGGTGCAGGTCTGGAGGCCGAGCTGGAGCACCTCCGGCAGGCGCTGGAGAGCGGCCTGGACACCAAGGAGGCCAAAGAGAAGTTCCTGCACGAGGTGGTGAGGATGCGGGTGCGGCAGGAGGAGAAGCTGAGCGCCGCCCTGCAGGCCAAGCGGAGCCTCCACCAGGTGCACCCCCCTGCTTGCCAGACCCGGTGGGGGTGGGGGGGATCGGGACATGGCTGCCGCCGGTCGGCCCCTTAGACCACAGCAGATTGCCCTCCCAGGGAGGCCCCAGGTGCTGGCCTCCTGATGAGTCACACGCCCTGCCCAGGGCGGGCATAGTTAGTGGGCTATTTGTAGTGGAGAGGGCTAGGAGCAGCTGTACCCACTATGCTGTCACACTGCCAGCTGGGAGGAGCTGCCCTCATGCCGGGTCTGGGCCCCAGACCTCATATTCTTGAGAGGGGCTGCCACAGCACCCCGAGCATGGAGCAGAGGGAGCTCACTGCAGCAGGCACTGAGCACAGGTCCTCACAGCCCCACACCCACATGATGCCCCAGGTTCCTGCCGAGTTCTAGATGACCCCTGGCGCAGTGGCCGCTGTCTGCTGAAGCAGCAGGGTGTTGTGGTGGCCTCACTGCCGCCTCTATCCCTTTGCATTCGTTTTTTCTGACACGTGCGAGGTGGGCGCATTCACAGCTCTGGGTGCCTTTGCAGACACCAGCAGGACGGAGGATGTGAGGAAGGCAGGTGTGGCCACGGGGGCAGGCGCTTCAACACTCACATCCCGCTGAGGGAACCCCCCAGCAGACTCCTTGGCACCACAGGAGCTGGCAGCTGGGGCCCAGCTTCTCCAGCGCAAGGCTCCCACCCCATGGGGCCCTCTGGGCCTTGGGGTGTGAACACAGTGGTCTGGGTGTGGGTCAGCCTCCCACTCTAAGTCACCGTGGCTGGGGGGCTTGCATGTGCACATTCATGGGCATGTGGGACAGGGCTCAGGGCGGCAGCGGTGGCCCCATCTGGCTGCATGAGCAACTGGCCCTCAGTGCCCTGTGTGTGTGTCTTGTGTTTCTGGGCAGCACTTAGCATGAGCCGCTGCCGACACTGGCCTTGGGGGTCACTCTGGCCCTGCTCCTGCCTCTGCAGTAGGCTGTACGTAGCAGGGCTTTATGCCTTTGCCTGGGCGGGGTGCTGAGGCCTTACCCTTGGGAATGTGTGGGAGGGGCACCCCAGGACCTGAGAGGGGCCGTAGCACAGACTGGCCATAGGGGCGCCAGGGAGGGGATGTGGCTGCAGCTGGGCAACAAGGTGAGAAGCAGAGGCAGCAAGGACCCCAGGGCCCTGACGGCCCACGTTCTGCCCAGGAGCTGGAGTTCCTGCGTGTGGCCAAGAAGGAGAAGCTGCGGGAGGCGACGGAGGCCAAGCGGAACCTCCGGAAGGAGATCGAGCGGCTGCGGGCCGAGAACGAGAAGAAGATGAAAGAGGCCAACGAGTCCCGTGTGCGCCTCAAGCGCGAGCTGGAGCAGGCGCGGCAGGTCCGGGTGTGCGACAAGGGCTGCGAGGCCGGCCGCCTGCGCGCCAAGTACTCCGCCCAGGTACCCAGGGGAGGCGGTGGGCTGGCAGAGGGGCGAGGGTGGGGGGCAGGCCCGGGC